TATACATGTTTGATAGACCTGGGTAGGCGACATATGGCGGTAGACCTCACGCTATAGTAGCACCGATAAAGCTATAGTATTTACAAATCATTGACCACATAATTATTTTTACCTTACAGTGATTTTAACCAATTCTTTGTACTTTGTTCCTACTAGTAGCACAGGGTCTTTATGCTCATTACTACACCTAACAAAAGCAAACAAGAGTATGCTGAAATATTAAATCTTATTAAGGCAGCTTCTTCATTAAAAGTAATCAATGAACCAACTCCATCCTAAAAAAACTTGAAAGAAACAACTTTTACAAAAGTTTCATCTACGCTTAAGTAATCTTAGATACCTTATCTCCATTTTGAGATCACATTTTATAAAACACAATTACAAAAAGTAAAGATAAACATATTATGTTTTGGGGAGGGGACATATACCCCACGTGGATCTGCCAGTCTTAAGGAAACTATATGCTACATTAAATATTTTCTATCAGGTTAAAAATCAAACAAACACAACTTTAATATCATATTTTCTCCTCTAAGTAGGATTTAACCACTGAAATGTGTTCCATTATTAGCGATAGCAAATATTCTTTCTAACAATACTTTTTAACAGAATTGCACAATTTCATGTCAAACAAAAACCGATTACCGTTTGGACACTGTTAAGTCAAGCCTAGAAATTAAATGATTTGTCAAGAATTACATTTGACTGTAATGGTATTACAGTCAAATGAAGTACAATATATCAATACATTTTGAGAATATTATGATAATCTGGTTCATTAATGATAACTTACAACTTTTATACAGACAATATTCTTTTTTACTGTTTTTGGGTCATTTACTCCATACATTTAACACAATAATCACAATTAAAAGCAAAGCACAAAAAGGTCAAAAATCTTATGTCACAGTAACTCATACTGAAATCAGTGTTACTTCCACTAAGAATTTTGTTCTTTAGACATTAATATACAAGTCCTCTTAAACAACTTAAAATCTTGTGCAAAACTTATGTGAAGCACCAACTATAGCCTTATTTTCAATGCCCATGTTACATGCACATATCGTACGCATAAGTTGTTCACCCAAAACTCACTTTGAACCAGCCCAGTTTAAAGGATTGCAAATTTCAAATAAAATCTTACACCAGCATTACAATATCAAAAGTATTTTTAATATATATATACACGTGTGTTTATGTATGCATGGTGTGTTATACAAGTCCTCTCAAACAACTTGAAATCTTGTGTTAAACATATGTGAAGCACTAAGCTATAGCCTTCTTTTCAGTGCCCATGTTGCAAGCACATATCATATGAACAACTTGTTCACACCAAACTCACTTTAAGCTAGCTGAGTTTAGAGGATTGTGAACTTGAAATAACAACTTACACCAGCATTACAACATTAAAAGCTTTTTTTTTTAAAAAAAAAAATATATATATATGTATGTGTGTGTGTGTGTGTGTGTGTGTGCA